CCCCCCAAAAAAAAAAAAAAAAAATTATATGCATATTGCTTACAAGTCAATGTTTTTAGTGAAATATGCTCGGCTCTGCAAATTCTAGAAAGTAAGCAGCAGTAAATATACAAGATGAAACCTAGAATTTGTAATTTTTATGTTATATATGATTACTAACTCGTGAAACAAAATCTCTAGGCCAGCCAATGGCAGCATTTATCTTCAGTGTGAATGAGGGACCCCGATTTACCATTATCTTATTTTTAAGTAAGAAGAGTTGCATGAAGTACTCTCATCCTAGTGTCAAAATGAGTAACTTATTTCTTACTTCGACAAATAAACCTAATTACATAGAAAACTTTTTAAGCTTAGCCAAATAATCTCTTTCTATCAAGTTTCAGAGTGATTAACTTTAGAAACAGCTCCAGGCCATACAGAAGTGGCAGCTTTTACCTCCTTGCTATGCAAAATTTTGGAAAACCAATAGTTATTCCGCAAAGGATGATTTGATGCATTCAGATCTCCTTTTATCATATCACAAAGTATAGGGTTATTATGCTTCCTCCATTGCATTGGGAACTCAAAAAATACTCCCTTTCTGCCATCAAATTAACGATCTGAAAACAATGAGAATGCTGTTAGGCTGGAAATCAATTCAAAAGTGAACTGAATACAAGGGAGACTTTACCTTTTCTAGGCTTTGGTCGTCTAACTTGATCATCTCCACTGCTTGTTGAAAGAGTCCTTTTCGCAGACGAAGACTTCCATGAAGATTCTGGCTTCTTCATAGGTATAAGAGCAGATGACAGAAGAGCATCAACGGCTTCACGCTGTTGTTTCCTTTTCATAATTGAATTTTTGGGTACCTCCACTTCATTAGAAGCTCCATCGCCAACTTCATCCTTCTGCTTATGGCTTCTTGCAGAAGACGATGTTCCCATTTCCATTTTCTGCCCGCTCTCATCATGCTTAACCAGTTTTGAACCTCTATCATCAGTGGCTATACGTTTCAAATGTTTATGACTTAAACTCCCCTTTCCAGAATTACTAAAATCACTTCTCATATTGCCATTATTTTCTCCCTTACCCACGTCAGATTTTCCCATATTATTTTGATGTTCATTAGTCGGGTTGGACCAACTTTCTTTACTGTTTACCTGATGCCCCTTTACTGCAGGCTTCACACCATTTGTAGTTTTGTCCTTGCTATATTCAATTTCTACAGTTGCAACATCCTTTATTAACTGAACATTACTTCCATCCCTGGCTCTTCTTTTATTATCCTTAGTAGCATCCTTTGCTGGTGGAAAAGCATGATCGCTTTCACCTGTTGTAGTGACACTTTGTGTTCCGATGCCGATTTTTCTTTTCCACTCAGAAGTATGCTTCCTAATCTTTTTTTGTGTCTCTCCATGTTCATTTGCTGCTTCAACTATTCCAACATTCCTCGACAGACTTGATTGGTTGGCTGAATTACCTGAAGCTGGTCTATTTTCTGAAGCAAACTTGAACATGGAACTATATGGCCTTGTTCCTGATATAATCAAATTTCTCTGTTTTGCATCTTCAACAAGAGATGCCCAGGTCCGGTTCGTCTGTAATGTTCTTGAATTACCCAAAATCCATAAAGAAAGCTTGGCCCTAGTCAAGGACACATTCATCCGTCTAACATCAGCAACAAATCCAAGATTGCTAGAGTTAATCCTGGGCTCTTCAGCTCCAGCTGCTCTAACTGTTGAAAGCAGCAGGATATCAACTTCCCGACCTTGAAAGCCATCGACTGTATTAAATTCCATTTCAGCAGTAATAGCAGACCCAAATGCACCAGAAAAGCGTGTACGTAGAAGTGATAGTTGAGACTTGTAAGGAGTTATGATGCCGATTCTTCCACCAAAAAATTCAGAGGGGTACCTATGAAAGACAACAAAAATAATAAATAAAGAATCTTAAATGAAAAAATCACCAAATGAGAAAGAAGAGGTACCTCTTCCTGAAAAATTTCAATACTTCAACTGCAGCAGCAGCCTCACACTCATTGTATAGGGACAATGTAGCTGAGTTTTTACCATGTTGCTCCTGACCGTCAATAATATCAAAGAATACATAGGGCCCTAGGGCCCTAGTCTCGTGAAAGGATGCAGCTTTGCTAGACATCTGATCGCCATTTAGCAACTTGCCGTCGTAGAAATGAAAAGAAGGAAAGCGACATATTTCCGGATGCATCCTATACTGTCCATTCCATAAAAATACTGAATGAATATTTTCTAAACATTGACAGTGACAGAGAGAGAGAGAGAGAGAAACAATAGCAACATAACAAGTTTCAGGTCCGATCGTGTCTCAAACTTGCAAGAGTTCATGACTGATAAATCAAGCATTGTAAGACGTGACTAGTTTTTCGAGTTCAGTACATCCTAAATTTGTAGGTTACTATAATTCAGAATCCTAAAAAATAACGGTTGTGCTACATGTACATAATGGTTTACATATATATGATATGGTGAGATATGATTGGGTCAGAATTTCTTAGGGCAGGTTACTATGATTCGGAATCCTAAAAAATAACGGTTGTGTTACATGTACATAATGGTTTACATATATATGATGTGGTGAGACATGATTGGGTTAGAATTTCTTAGGAAAAAAAATCTCAATTCTCTTTTTGACACATCATCTATATGTAAACAAATGAGTAATTTCATTATGTACAAGAAGCATTATTCAAAAAATAATGTGTGTATTTTCATTTTCATCGAGACAGTCAAATTTTCTCCCAATATTAATGTAATGCATGCTTCCAATATTGACCTATGTAGAAAACGTCATGGTATGGAAAGAATATTAGGGATAAAATTGTGATCAATTAGAGATTTTATATTTTAGGATAATTGGTTAATTATTTTATTTCCTTACCAGGCAGGTTATTTTTCCTTTTTCCTTCAAACTAGTGTACTATAAATTGATTGTATTGCTGCTGGAATTAATATCAATACACACAAAATATTTACTCCAATAACCTAGCTAACTAATGGCGGAATTCCCCGCCACCAATCAGGAATCTACAAAGTCTGAAACTTCTCAATTCGAAGCATAATCCAATTCCTCATTCTGCGCCAATAGAGTCAAAAACTGCTTCCAACTCACAGTGGAGAAACTGACTGGAAGGAATTTTCGAGAGTGGGCTCAACCCATAATATTAGTGATCAATGGAAAGGGAAAATTAAGATACTTGACCAGCAATACAAAGAGTCCAACCAATGCGAAACTCCTATAGAGATGGAATTCTGAAAATTCTATGGTAACGGCATGGCTCATGAATACTATAAAACCGTCCATTGGAAAAACGTATATCTTCCTCCCCCACCGCAAAATATGTCTGAGAGGCTATGAAAGAAACATACTTTGACTCCGAAGATTCTTTGCACATCTTCGAAGTAAAGATACAACTATGCAGATGAAGCAAGGCACAAGGGATGTTACAGACTATTACATGGAGATGGCCTCTCTTTGGCAGGAATTGGATCTTAGAAATGAAGAAGAATGGCAGTGCCCAGAAGACATAGCTCTGTACAAACAAAGCGGGAGAACAAGAGAGTATACGAGTTCCTTGCGAGTCTGAATCAGGAACTCGACGACATCAGAGGCCAGATATTGGGCCAGCGACCACTGCCTCCCACTCGTGAAGTGTTCTCTGAGGTCAACGTGAAGAGGCGCATCAGCAGGTGACGATGGAGAGCTCCAGAGATGCGTCTGCCTTAGTGGCAAGTGGATCTCACAAATTAAGAATTAACGGGCCAAGAAACGGAAAACCACAACTTGGATTTTTTAAAACAAATGGGCCTGCTCGGACTGGACCCTATTAAATTAGGCCTATTGGATTTGGATTAGATAATAACACTTCTGGTGAATTTGGGCCAGCTGGATTTAGAGGAGGAAATTTAGGCCGATCATCAAAAGGAAGTATCAATGGATCCAACTCGAAATTGCAGGAAGATATACTATCATCATAACAATTATTAGTTAAGTGCAGCAAAAGCTCTGCCGTTAAGCAAATTCCTGAGCAGGGAACCGATGGCAAGCGCTTGATCCTAGTGCGAACACTGTCATAGGCCGGGACATAAAGAAGACACATGTTGGAAAATTCATGGAAAACCCATTGATTGGAAAGCAAAGAAATATACTAAGAGCCGAGGGTATCAAGCCGAAACAAGAAGTAATCAAACTGCTAGTGGTGCTTTCAATTTGAAACAACTAGAGCAACTTTACCAAATGTTTTGAAGCCTTCAACCACCTGGTCAATAGTCCCCTAAAAGTCCTTCTAGCCCTCCTGTTCACAAAGGTAACTTTCTTAGAGCCTTAAGCACCTCACGATCTAAGACCGCCAAGATTATTGATTCCAGTGCATCCGATCACACAATAAACTCTTATCACTTATTCTCTTCCTACAATGCCTACGCAGGAAACATTAAAGTAAAAATTGCAAATGACTCACTCTCATCTGTTGCACAAAATGGGAGTATTCGTATCTCTAAATCCACACTACTGAATCTGTACTTCACATCCCAAATTTGTCCAACAATTTGTTATCTATCAGCCAGTTGACCAAAAATTATAATTGCTATTCTAATTTCTTTCCGTCTTACTATACCATTCAGGACCTTTCATCGAGGAAGACAACTGGCAATGCTAAAGAGTTTGATGAACTATACTACTTTGAGAAAGCTGATATGAGAAACCATGTCATCTTTTAGGCAACAATTCACATCTGTCTCTAGGGACAATAAACTTTTGTTATGGCACAATAGATTGGGACACCCCTAGCCTAAAATAATTGAAACATGTATTACCTTCCATTTTCATTAATAAAAATACCATTGAGGTTCAATGCGAAAGTTGTGAGTTTGCAAAACATAAGCGTACATCCTTTCTGGCTTCCACGTACAAGCCATCTAAACATTTCGTCGCAATTCACAATGATTTATGGGGTCCTTCCTGCTACTCTAACTGCACCCGAACGAAATGGTTTGTCACATTTATGGACGACGACACTCGAGTATGTTGGGTTTACCTCCTAAATGAAAAAACATATGTCCACTCTGTATTCATAAATTTCCATTCTATGATTCAAACCCAATTTCAAAGTCACTCCAAATTCTGCGAGCTGACAATGGCATGGAATACTTCAATACTACACTACAAGACTATCTAAAAAAACATAGGATAGTTGACCAAAACTCATGTGTGAACTCTACCCAACAGAATGGTATTGTTGAACGAAAAAAATAGACACATACTCGAAGTTGCCCATGCTTTAATATTCACTAAAAATATGCCAAAGATATTTTGGGGACGCCATTCTAACTTCTGCATATCTCATCAATCGAACGCCCATCCGAACTCTCTCCTTCGACTCACCCATACAAAGACTCCAACAACACTTCTCTGCTTCCCACCTCAATTCAAATCCCCCTCTCAAAGTATTTCAAAATACCGCTTTTGTACATATCCACTCACACCTTCAAAATAAACTTGAACCACATACAATCAAGTGTGTGTTTCTTGGATACTCACCTACACAAAAAGGCTACAAATGCCATGACCTGTTCAACAAAAAATTCTATATCAACCTCGACGTAACCTTCTTCGAAAACATACCTTACTACAAAAAACCTATCTTTAGGGCGAAAATATAAGTGAAGATCGGTTCTCAAATCGAGAATTCTTAGACGTTGACATTTCCCCATCTGAATTAATACATACAAAACCTGTCAATCTAACTTCTAATGTGCCATATACAGGAGGGAACATGAATTCGAAGGGAGATGATGGAAAACAGAATGACAGAGACTGGTTTACTGAAAAAAAAAAAGCCAAAATAAAATTATAAAGAAACACTTACACCTGAGATACCAAGAGAATCGAAAACAGTGATAGGACAAAAGGACAACCCATTCAATGAATCTCCGGATCTAGATCTACCCATTGCTATCAGAAAACAAACTCGGTCATATACTCTCAATCCTATCTCAAAATCCACATCTTATAATGCTCTATCTACAAAGTTCCGTACTTTCATCACTAATATTTATGAAAAAAGAAATTCTGCGGAATATTTAGGAGGCCTTGGAATCACCTAAATGGAAAGCAATAGTAATGGAGAAAATGCATGTGTTTGGAGAAAAATAGAACTTGGGAAGTGGTAAACCTACCGAAAGGAAAGAAACATGTAGGCTGCAAATGAGTCTTTAATATAAGACAATAGAAAGCTACAAAGCACATCTAGTGGCCAAAGGATACACTCAAACCTATGGCATCGACTACACTGAAACATTCGTGCTTGTGGCAAAACTCAATAAAGTTCGAGTTCTCATTGTCATTAGCAGTAAATCTAGACTGACCGCTCCAACAACTAGTTATTAAGAATGCTTTACTTAATCGAGAATTAGAAGAAAAAGTTTATATGACACCACCGACTTCAACAACGAAAATGAGGAAAATCAAGTGTGTAAACTGAAGAAACCTCTATATAGTTTCAAACAGTCACCTAGAGCTTGGTTCGATAGATTTACAAGAGTACTAAAAAAATTAAGAACCAACAAAGGCAATCAAATCACACCATGTTCTTCCAACAATCCAGAGATGGGACAAAGACTATTCTAATTGTATAAGTAGATTACATTGGGCTCTAGGGTTGCACAGTTGCCTATGACATATCTTGAGCTCCCACTAGGAGCAAGGTTCAAAAGTAAACACATCTAGGACAGTATAGTAGAAAGGGTGGAGAGGAGATTAGCGGGTTGGAAGCGTATATACCTCTCAAAGGGAGGTCACCTTACTCTTATCAAGTCTACTCTCTCGAATCTCCCCACTTATTTCTTGTCTTTGTTTCCCATTCCTGTTACAGTGCTAAAAGACTAGAGAGGATCCAAAGAGAGTTCCTTCGGAGAGGGTTAGGAGAGGAGAGAATTTCATTTGGTCAATTGGGGGGCAGTTTATTCTCCCACAAGGGTTGGGGGACTCGGATTGATGAGCCTTGTATTGTTTAATAATGCCTTGTTGGGTAAGCAGTTATAGCGATTTGGGGTGGAGAGGGAGAGTTTCTGGAGAGATTATAGAAGAGAAATATGGTATTTTGGAGGGTGGATGGTGTTCAGTTGAGAGTCATGGTACCTACGGGGTGAGTTTATGGCGGTATATTCGATGAGAGTAGAGTGACTTTGGAAATAGAGTAACTTTTGGTGTGGGGAATGGCAATACTATTAGCTTTTGGGATGATTGTTGGTGTACTAATCAACCGCTAAGGGAGAGATTTCCTTCTTTGTATCGTATTGCCGTGATGCCATCTGCTATGGTGAATAATGTATTAGATACACATAACGGGAACATCAGCTGGAACATTGTTTTTGGGAGGGGATTACAAGATTGGGAAGTGGATGATTGTAACATTCCGAAATTTTTTTAAAAAATAAATAAATTATTTATTCTATATATTATATTATTTTGAAAGTGAGGGATTAAGGTGAAATAAATATTAATATATTATATATTTGGGGTCAAATAATTGGATTTTGATAAAGTAATGATATGTATATCAATATTATACTTGTTGGATAGCTAGTATTTAATTATGAATTTTATGCTCAAAAAAAGAAAAAGAAAAAAAAGGGTTGATTCGGATAAGCCTTCTTCAAGATATTACAGTTTGAATAAATCACAAAAAAAAAAAAAAAAAAAAACCTAGTTTTTAACTTAATTACTTTATTTGGAGTGCTTTCTTCCTAAAGTACTATATGACAACAATTCAATTTTACCTCTTGCACGTAATTTAGACACTTTGCAGAGAGAGAGAAATTTCAAGATTGATTGTGATTGATGGAGAGAGAAAATGACTTTATCTTATTTTAAAGATTTAATTGCCTTGATTCTAGATTTTGACAGGATACCGGACACACATGAGTTTGTTTAGGTAGAGATAAATTGATTTCTTCTAAGTTGATAAAGGTAAATCTGAGATTTAGTTAGTTAATTGCTGATGATAACAAGGTTGGCAGGCACGATAAATTAGATTGGTTATGATGAAATTTTAATTGTTTGATTCGGATAAATTTAATGGTTAATAATAATAAAATAATAATGGAACAAGATTTGGTATACTGATATTAGGCTCATTTCGAAGATCGTAATTAATTAGAAGTCTATGACTCGAGAAAAGTTATTTTGGATAAGAACGCATTAAGTTATACCCAATTGAAAGAAAACAAGATAAATAGAATTTTATATCGTTATAATCCTATTCTTTTCTTCTTTCTGGAAACGGGTAAGGTTTATATTAAATTATTAATCTTTTTTTTTTTTGTTTACTATTAACCCTTAATATGATTAGGCTAAACTTTGATGATTCAATCTAATTCTACTAATTAAACTCAACCTTATCCCGACTCATGGTACATGTTTTCTAGAATAACTCAACCACTTTTTATTACTATAAATATTAGGCAAGGATCTCATATATTACCACACCAAATGTATTCACACGTGAAAGAGAAAAGAAAGAAAAAGAGTGAGAGAAAGGGGAGGGGAAGAGAGAGGGAGAGAGAGAGAGAGTAGCTTTGGAAATATCAAATATTTTAATCACATACTTTCAAGGCAGAGGAAAGCTTTTCAACGTATTTCAGATTTTTTTTAAAACGAGGTAAGATACATTTATGTGCAAAGTGTTTTAATTTTCTTTATGCTCTTATATACAATTAATATGCATGGATTACTACTGGACCTTCGAGTTCTAGAAAGAGATGATATTTCTACGGGAATTTAAGAGGACCTGATATGGGTGTGTCGTTTGGTCACCGATATACTCCATAAGAGAAGAGCGGTATCAAGTGTATAATTTATTTGTTATGTAATGGTGTATGAAAATTGCATGTATCTTACTGAGTGTTTTAAAATACTCTTACATTAATTTTACAGGTTAATTCGGGTTGATTGGAACAGTGGCAAATTGGTGATGCGGGTTGCCAAGTGGATAAAGAAAAAGAAATAAGTTTGTCATATTTAAAATTTATCGGTCAGTTTAATTTATTCAAAATGTGATATTTGAATTTGCTGAGAGTTTATGTTTATATTTAGATACGATTATCATATTTTCAAATTTAGATTTATAAATATTGCAGTTATTTAATTATTAAAGAATCTTTTTATATAGTTCCGCATTTAAAATAAAGAAAAGTTAGTTTTTGGTAACGTTCCGGTGTTTATAGAAAAAATTGGGGCGTTACAATGATTGTGCGTTGCTATTGACATTTTTGTATGAAGTGCATATCAGAGTAGAAGAGTAACCGCATCAGCTGGACGCTGGCAAAGGATGACATTTTCTCAGTTAGCACTTATTTTAGATCCTTATTGGGATCTGTGGAGAATTCATTCCTTTGGAAGATGATTTGAAAGTGTAAACTACCTCCAAGGGTAGCATTTTTACTATGGACGGTAGTGAAGAGACAAGTGTTAACGGCGGATAATCTTCAATTAAGGGGGTTTTATTTTACAAATTGGTGTCATATGTGCAGAAAGGATGGAGAAACGATTGAACATTTGTTTCTCCATTGTGATGGCGCTCGTTTGCTATGGAATGATATTCTGACTTCTCAATATATAGATTGGGTGGTGTCAAGGCGTATGCAAGATATGTTGTACAATTAGGACTCGATATGGTTTTATTATTTTTATCGTATCAGAGGTTATGTTCTTTTTTGCTGAAGGCATGGAGGAGAAAGTTTCGTGACAAGGACAGTAAACTTGTTTGGGACATTATTCCAGGTTGCATTGTTTGATGTGTGTGGAGAGAGAAACGGGCGCTGTTTTGATGATCAGATAAAGATTTCAGAGCAATTTAGAGAATTATTTTATTTGACATTGTATAATTGGTTTAATGCTGCAGCTTCTAGTCACATAGATGGGCTGCCCGATTTCATGACGTTTATTTCTTGTTTAAGTGTATAATACACTTCTTGTGTATTACCTTCTGATTAATACAATATTTTATTACTTACTAAAAAAAAAAATTGTATAAGTAGATGATATAATCCTAACCGGGAATAACATAACTGAAATAGAAAGATCCAAAAGGTGTTTAGTCGTTGAATTTGAGATGGAAGACCTAGGACAAGTGCTATACTTTTTAGGGATGGAGATTGCAAGATGAAAGAAGGGTGTTAGTATTTCCCAAAGAAAATACATTCTCGACTTCTTAATCGAAATCGGTATGCTAGGATGCAAACCAAACGACACACCTATAGAAACAGGAAAATGTCAAAAAACACAAGGAACTCAATGAAAACATACGGATATCAAAGACTAGTAGGGAAGTTAATCTCTCACATACTAGATCAGACTTAGCTTTCGTAGTTAGCATGGTAAGCAAGCATATGCATTTTCCCAAAGAGGCTCACTTGGAAGCACTATATAAAATCCTCAGATATTTAAAAAACAACTCTGGGAAATGACTATTCTTTGAAAAAAAAAATGAGTGGAGATATTCAATGACGCAGACTGGGCTGGATCAACAAAAGATAAAAGGTCTACTTCAGGTTACTATACCTTCATATAGAGAAATTTGGTAACTTGGAGAGGCAAGAAACAGAATGTAGTGGCACGAAGTCGCGCAGAAGCTAAATTTAGAGCAGTTGCATAAAGAATATGTGAAGGATTATCGATAAAGAAACTTCTGAAAGAACGAAAAGTTGGAATGGAATTGACAATCAAACTCTACTGTGACAACAAAGCAATGATCAACATTTCTCTCAATCCAATGCAACATGATAGACCCAAACATATAGAAGTAGACGACACTTTATCAAGGAAAAGGTGGATGAAGGAATTATTTGTATAACATGTTCTGACAAAAGAACAAACAGCAGAAATCTTCACAAAAGGATTATCCAAACAAATCTTCAACGACTTCAACTACAAGTTGAACTTAGTCAACATCTGTAGTCCAACTTGAGGGGGAGCGTAGAAAACGTCACAGTATGGAAAGAATATCAGGGATGAAATTGTGATAAATTAGAGACTTTCTATTTTAGGATAATTGGTCAATTATTTTATTTCCTTACTAGGCAGATTATTTTTCCTTTTTCCTTCAAACTAATGTGTTATAAATTGATTGTATTACTGCTGGAATTAATATCAATACACAAAAATTTACTCCAATATTTTCTTCAACCTCTCTCCAACTGAACCTCACTGTTTGTCTTGAGACATTGTCACCGTCATTTGCCGCTGCGAACAGGCCACTGACCAACCACCAGCCTCTGTTTTTTATTTTAATTTCTTGGATTCCAAAGCACAATTTATTTTTTGTTATTTTAAAATCAGATGAACTGATGACTATTATAAACTAGAATGACTTGAAATTATCTGCATATATTTCTATCTTCATCTGAACCTCAACAGAAAAGGTTATCAAGTGGAGATAAACTACAGATTAAGCCTTATTCCCGCTTATACACAATAAAGTTGGCAAAGAACAATTTATTTTTTTATCTTTTTTTTTTTTTTTTTTGACAATTTGTTCAATTTTGCTACTTCCAATTGGAAGCAAGGACTAACTTTTTGGGTCAAGAATGTCTGGGAATTTGAAATACCTGGTGGGTCAGCATGATGATAGGATGGTTAGCCTGTTGCAGCCGTTCAAACATGCTACATTGAAACATATATTTGCTAACAACATTAGAGAGAACCGTGGCAGGTAGCTGCTTTGGATCACCAACCTTCAAAGACAAATATCCAGATCAATTATACTCATTGCTCATCATTCAACAAAATAAGTGCTTGTGGAAACCATTACCATGATGCATTTTGTTCCTTTCGATTTTAGAAGCTGAAGAGGAATCAGAGTGGCTGGTTCCAGGGCCTACGTTGGAAAAAATATAAGGTTAAAAGGAAGACGAGAAAGATATACCAGGGTTGAAGATCCAAATTTTGTGAAACAACAGAAACAGGGGAAAAAGAAGGAAATATGAAATTATTACTTGAGCAGCTTCATCAATCACAACAGCATCAAACAGAGAGTTCTCAGAAGGACTAGTGAACTTATGGTTTAATATAGATTCTGAACACACTCCATACAGATCTCCACCACAGCCACTTAGGGTAGTAACTACAATTTCAGCTTCCTTCAAGATAGTCTTTCGGAATTTATTTTTGAGAGCTTTGATTTCTTCACTGGCTTTCTTCTCCTTAGCCTGAGCAACGGAAATATCTGTATAGATTTTTTTCTTCTTGTCATATAATGCTCTTAGCCTTGCTCCTAATTCTGCATCAGACAGTTCCATGATATCCTCCCCTTCCAACAGATTGCTTGAATTTGAATTTACCTCTTCTACGTTAGCTCGCTTGGCTTCATAGTATCTGATGCGGTCAACTAACTGCTCCAGCTTAAAACGAAGAACTGTCAAAGAGTCTCCATCAATATCATTCTTTTCATCATTTGCATTCCTTCTTTCCTCTGCCAGACAGTTATCAACAAGCGTGTCAATAAAGAAGGGTAGAGAATTCGGATGAACTGTCTTTTCATTACCAACCCTCACAAGATATGGCTTGAACATCATTCCATCGCGGCCATAAAGACCTTTACTGGTTATTCTTGCGACTAGCTCATCAACTGCAGCATTAGATTGTGCACAAATAAGAATCCGACCTCTAGTGCAGCTTCCCGTGGATTTGTTGTTCTTTTCTAAATCGTCATTATGTTGTCTAGCCAAGGCTGCATCTTGCCAGGCTCTTGCAATTGCGGCAGATTGACTCATCCTTTGCTTAGTGCTAGAGACATTGCTACACTTTAAATAGTCACTTGGTAACCTCTTACTGTCTTTCATTTGAAAGAAAGCAAGCAAACCACTGGCAATGGCTACAATTGTTCGGGTCTTTCCAGTTCCTGATGGAATGAGGTTCAGACAATAGGTAAGCAGTGCAAGTGCTAATTGACATGCATACAAGTCAAGGATCCAGGAAAGAGAAAAAATGGAGAAGAAAGAAAAAGAAAAGAATGCAAATAAATATAACATACCTGGAGGACCCTGTATAAGAGACAACTCAAAATCCTTCTTAGAGTCAAAAGGTCCAATAGCAGTATTAATAGCTTGCAGCTGACTGTCGTTATATGAAGACTTAAGGACTTGCTGCAAAGGTTGAGAAAGCCTAATAATATTTTCCTTTCTAATTTCACGATGACCAGAAAAATAATTGACAGGGTTCAAGACAATAGGGAGCAAAGGAATTTCTCTTATTGATGACAATGCCTGGAATTCCCTAAGTTGAGATGCAATGCTCATAACACGATATAAAAGCCACTTGCTTCGGTCTGTAAGAAGCTTTCTAGCTCGATTAAGACGAGAACATCCTTGCAGATATACCCTGATGACTAAGATATTTAATCTTCTTTTATTATCCTTCTCCCGACGCTCCACCTAAGCATAAGCACACATCATCAGCAATATGCAATCAAAACATGTTAATTGGTCAACTTAAGAATTCATCCATATATAAGCTTCAAGGACATATTAAAAAGACGGTTAGATTATAAATTAAATATTGCCAACTCGTTAAAACACAGAAAGTTTTATTAGCTCCTCAAGGGACAACAAAACAAGTTGCAGTGTGTGAATCCTTAAGTTTAACTTTGAAAACTTTGAGTTATTTTTTTATGCCCATGAATCAGGGAAACAACTATTTGATACCTTGATTCCTCTCAGTGAAATAGATAATTAAGGATGTAAAATCTACTCAAGAAACCAGGTATTTGTGCATATAGAAAATTTACAGATGTACCTTCCCAACAGTGTGAACATCATGGAAAGAACTTTTTAGTGGCTGTCTTGTAAGCAAAATGAGATCGCTTTCGAAGCAGATTTTGGACACATTGGACTTGTTCTCATCGTAGACCACACGAACAAAGTGAAAATTATCAACTTTCTCAACTGATAGCACTGATATACTTCCACAACACATTTCTTCTACTGAAGCCATCTCCTGAAAGGAACTCCGCAACTGTGCTTTGAATTCTTCTAGTACCAATGGTCGGAAAATTTCTACATATTCATCAGGCGACTGGAAACAAACGGGGACCTCCTTTAGTTTGCTAGCATTTTTATCAACTTCGTCGTTTCCAGATTCTAATCCCACGGCCACAAAAAAATCCAACTCTAGAATGGGTCTAAACCAGTCATCCAGACTTGGAGGTTTGAATCTTCTCACTCTGCCATCCAGCCGGCAAGACCCCGATCTGTTTTCAACAGGTAAGTTGAGTTGAATAACTTGTCGTTTGGGACCAGAAGTGCTAGGTCTTGTTACTGGTGCCTGTTGACTCCTCAACGGTTTGAAAAGAGAAAACTCCCATGGATCCTCCTCGGTATCCCATACCACCTCTTTTATAACTAAATCACTAGATTTTGTAACCTTGTTCATGCCTTGCTGATCCTTACTTTTAGAAGTTATACTTCTGTCAGACAAGGCCCTGATATTGGGATACTTTTGAGGTATAGAGGAATCAAGTCTTTTTGAATTAATAGTTTCATCAGATATTTTCCTTGCGTTATAGTTATTATGCGAAGGGAACAAATCATTTATGTCATCTTTCTTAGTTACTTGTTTTCTCATACTATCTGACTGCTTTGTTTTACTAGGAGACTCAGGTATCTGTTTGTCTTCCGGCGTATATGTGCCCATTTTATGGGTAATAAGATCATTACAATCAGGAGAACCTGGCCTATAAGTCTCGGGCTGACTACTTAACCCACTGGTAGAGTGCATTTCATGCAGGTCAGCCTTAAGAGCTCTTCCAGCAGAACTTGCACCAACAGATTTATCACCAAACATACTCTGACTTGACCTGACAAGAGAGTGAACCCCCTTTTTGAAAGTAATGTTAGGTTCGTCCTCATCATCAGAACGAACTACCAGATGATCTTTCTCCATATTGATCAATGGTTCAGAGTCCACAATGTGCATTTTTGTTGCCTCGGAAAACAATTTTTCAGAATCTTCTGTTAGTGAGTTATCAAAAGGTGAAGATTTTGACTTGATACCAGTTTTGTTGAATGCAGAACCTTTGTCCAGTAACAAACCAGAAAGGGTTGCTATTTGCTTATTCACTTCACCAATAAAAAGGTTTTCTGCAGTCCAAATACGCAATCAAAATATAATAGAGTCACCAATGGCATTTAATCATTTATACGAAAATCAAGAAATGAAAGATAAAGAAAAAACTCACCGTCTGAAATAAGTTTCTCAATATCAGTGATTGCTGAAGCAGCTTTATTACGACAGGATGCTTTAATTAGACCAAGCAAAGAGGCCAATGTCTGTTTCCAATATCTAACAACAGTGTCACTTGATGACTTTCCCCAATCTGATAAATCATGAAGCCACTCTATGGCATCTATATTTTCCAACATTATGCCAGAACTTCTAGAAAGCCTTTCAAAAACAAGAGGAGTGACCTCGAGCAGACGGATGCACGTCATCTGGGGAAAAAAATAAGAGTGAAATTAAATGTGTCCCAAGTCCGAATGCAGCAGAAATATGATCAAGAAGCCTAAATTGCATTAGTGAATTCAGATTCTAGTAATTTTGTCAATGTGTCAATGATGAGGATATAATTATGCTATCAGCTACATTCTCAGGTCATGAGAGAGATTCCTAATAATGGGAAGAAAACATATTGGACGAGCAGGCAATTTCACTTGCGACAGTAACTGAACCAAATTGATTACTCTAAAGATAAAACTCCAACAGTTAAGAAGAGACCCACCCTAAGAGGTGGGGAGGAAACTTTCTGATCAAACCAAACAGCAAGTAATTTATTTTATTTTCTTATAGATAGATGCCAAGAGAAAAGATGCACCCCTCTTATTGTCTGATTAAATACGTTGAAGATGATTTTTTGTACTTATTTTTTGTACTTTTCCCGTTCGGTTCTTGCTTTCTTTTCATGCCAAAATACAGCTTTCTCCACAGATTTATAGCCTGTTCAAAAGTTCTATATTTGACCACTTTGGTGCCCTTACCAATCTAATTATATTGATTTTCCGTTGAAAGAAAGAAATTATATCAAAGTTGTGAATGTTGCTCTGCATCTTCTGGTGGACACTAGATTTCATGAATATGCAAAGTTGCAAACACCCACTACAGTGAAGAAGTTCGATTGTAAGAAAAAATTAAAACAAATAACATAAAAAGCTGAGAAATACATAACTCATAGTCAGATGGAGATAAACCTGAGATACTTTGGAATCTATGAATGTCTTGCCTTTCGCCAAGCACTTCTGAATTGAAGGCCATGCAATTTCAGCTAGTAAGCAGCTAAATGTATCCCATGAAGTAGAACTGACAGTTGATGAATGTCCATGAACATTTGTGGGTGAAGAATCAAATACAGGTTGCTTCAAAAATCCACCCTGGGAAGAAAACTTTGCAACATCAGAGGCCTCTGACAACTTTTGTGACCCGGTCTCGATACATAGATTCCCTTCTTTGAGCAATTTGCACAGAACAAAGAAGAAATGATGTAAAGTCGGAAAGTTCAACAGAACAGAGTCCAACTGAACCTGAGAACAGCAGAAGGAAAAAAAAAAACACCATATGGAAGATTAGAAACAAGTGGGAGGTGGGCACAATTTACTCAAAAATGTCTCGAAAACTAGTTATATTGATAGAGGGTTGCAGCAAAAAGATGGGGGGAGAGAGTATGCAAAGAACTGGATTTGGTGCTTGGCCAAAAAGGCACCAGGCAGCTGCTCCAACAACAAGTTTAAGTATTGTCACGGCATAGCTGACTCCCCTACCCATGTGACACGGCAAGATTGCTAACAGTTGGTTTATGGCCAAATTATCGTGAAGTGCACTGACAGTATCTCATTTGCTGGTATAGTTGCAAGCTTCCTACCCAAATTACATCATGTGTTATCTTATATTTGAGCTTGCCAGCCCATGTGTTGGGGAGACAGCCCAGGGGGGCTGTGGGACCTTGGTCCGGACAGTCCTCCAGGGCAGCCCCCCCAGTAACTATTAAGATACAGGTGATCTAAGGCCAGTGACCTTTGTTATTAAAATGTTGCCAACAATTAATAGACTTCCTTCAATCATTTACATTACATACAAAATGCTCTCTCTTTTCTATTAAGCTTACCAATCTCAAAGCATGCCGAACTCCCGTAAAGATGGCTGGCCATGAAGATCGAGAAGAGCAAAGAAATTGCAGACAATGAGTTACGCCATGCATGCCCGAAACTTGTTCAAGGATAAGCTTAGCCACTCGTCTTGTGTTCTACACCAATAAGATAAATTTGGAATCCAAGTTTTAGGTCAAGCAATCGCGAAAATTTGAAGCAGATCAAAATACATACATAACAAGCACGCACACAGGCAGATACAAAAAATTACTCAATGCAAGTCAATTACATCATTAGGATCCACAAGCAAGAGAAAAATACTATCACTCATCATTGGTTCCCAGGTCCACTGCTTTGTAAGCTCGCCTTGCTCCATTCTGACAGTATAATGAGCAGCTAATCTGCAATACACAGTCCAATAATGACCAAGGCTGCCAATTTCTTTACCGCATGGATAGATATCAGCCTCGCCTTATCATAGTCAACAGCAAAAACAATAGTGAAGCATTTTGGTAATTAGGCGACTGACCTCTTGAATGCCCTAACTAAAGGCAAGCACATTGATGAAGATTTGACGGAATTTCTAGATTCTGCTCCATCTCCACCATCATCGGCACCAGATGGAACCTTCCACCCACAAAGAGAAGACATTTCCGAAGCAAAGGATGACAACCAATTCCTAACAGGAAGAGCCATTTCTTCCCTATTTTCTGGTTCTACCATTGAGAAACGGGATAGTGCCCAAAATACAGACTTCGAAAAGGATACAGGAAGGGCCAAGGGATCAATTTCAACCAGTACATCAAACCATAATTTTGGTATGCACATCCACTCCCCATATACCTGTGAGGTCATTTTTTTCTGCAGACTGAATTCTTTCCAACAACTAACATCATTGTCTTCAATATCAAGAACAAATAAAGGCTCTTCATCATCATCTTCTATACCAAAACTAGTAGGCCCACTTGGCGTATTACATGAACGCAATTGACCACTCAGAACCATGGATATCAAGGCAGAAGCATCAGAGACAATAATAGTCTGGATAAGATCTAATGCAGGTTGTCGAAGAGAACTGTGAAGCACCGAATCCTTCAAAGAAGACACGAGAGAAGGGCCCCTGTGAAATAAATAGAGGAGAGAGAAACAATTAAAGAAAATGTTAATAGTTCATCAGGCGAATCCCCACCAACCGAATATACATTCAGATATAAGTCAGTAGACCACATTTGCAAACTGTACACAAATTGTCCACATATAAAATAACCTTTACGGACAAAGTCTCCACAGTTACCTACCACATGTGTGCGCATTCAGAAGGGGGACAAGGGGGGTCCATCTTGTAACCTCGGAGAACAATGAGAAGAGCTATCTGCATAAACAAGTGAATGGACAAAACTCGAGATTAACATTGCAAGTTGCCATCAAATACAAAATTTTGCTTTGACATTGTAGAGGGTGAAACAACAACCTGGCAAGCCTTTTTTCTCATCAGCATGCTGAAATTACTGCTTACAGTCACTTGATGGAGGAGAAAATAAAGAAAATGTCTCCTTTGCTTTTCATGCTCGCCATCTTGCAAAGCTTCAAGCGACTGGAAGCATGAGATAACAAAGTAGTGAACAATAAAGCATTGTACTATGTTCTTCTCAAAGAAATAAAAGAAATATAATAAGGAAAGAAAAAATACTCAAATAAAAATGCAGTATAACAAACATGCCTGCAAAAAAGGTGAGAAAAGATCAAAAATTTCTTTATGGCTCTTCTCATTTCGAGTATGGAAACACTGACCCAGAAGCGTATTTCGCATAACGCTAGGAGACAACGTCGCCCTCAACCATAATTTACATCCTGTGTACAAAAACATATCTTAGAAGATTGGACAAATAGAGCTGCCAAAGAGAGAAAGAAGTGCACCATTAGAAATATACCAAGCTTTTCAAAAAGTAATCTCAAGCAGTTAACTGCATGAGAAAACTCAAGTGAATCATCACTGATATGGTTGAGTACAATACTGAGGAAAATGGGATGACGATCTAAAATCCCTTCTTCAAATGCTGGAGGCTCTAAAAACCCAAGACTTCAAAATAAATAAATAAATAAAATAAGATAAGATATCTATTAGCATAAAAAAATTATAAGAATGCCAAATCCTAATATTAAATATTGCAACCAACTGCTTCCTACAATGCTTTCATTCCAAGCCATACAGCGATTCGATCCAGTTGAACCCTAGGCCTTGATGTCTCTTTGGATGATTGCGTGCTTTCTGACTCTAAAATGCAAATGCATTTCTTCAGTAAATGCTGCAATGGATTCAGATCTGTAGATCTCCTACATAAAGCAGAAGATAGATATTGAGCATAACAAAAAATCTGCAAGGCATTCAGTTCAACAGAATATCAGTCGATTTGTTTTTATAGCATTGAAGTGTTCGCGTAGTTAACGAATCTTTGAATAGTCAGGCATACCAGAAGTTACATCATAGAGTGTTCAAAATTATCTATGCTATCCTAGAAACAATTGGAGTCATTACAAGTGGATATTGCAACTGATTCAACTCCTATACTGAGCTTCCATGGGAAAAGAAATACCTCAATTTACCCATATGTCCTGCCAGGCGAAAACCAATAGATCGAGTTCTTCTGCTTTTAAGAAATAGTAGCACGTAAACTCCCTGACAGTACAACGAAAAGGAAAAGAAAGGGTTCAGTAAAAATGATTAGAAAAATACCAAAAAGTGACAAAGGTACTAATCGCAAGGAGGACTTACCGGATACTGCTGATTTCCAGCTAACTTCAATTCATGAAAGTTGTCAATTGCTTCAATAAATATTTGAAACTCAGTCACCAAGTATTGATCATCCAATAAGATGGGAAGGGACAAAACCTGTTACCCATATGAATATGATCAGGAGAAATAAAAAAGAAGCAGATAAAGAACCAATAAACATAAGAATTTCCCGTGTTATTTGAACTCCTCTGAATATGGGATAGTTCTCTGATGTTGGTGGAGACTGAACGTGATATCCATCTCGAAACTAAACTATATCCACATAAAACTTGATGATGTAGCCTCTTATGATCATTTGTATAGCAGAAACATATATCAAGCACCACAGGTTATATGAAAGAGTTAATACTCATACAAAGAGATGTGGACCAACTCAACAGTTGAACATATAGATTACGCGAGTCATTATTTTAATACCAAAAAGAAAACACGGCCTAAAGATTGCAATCTAAATACCTCAAACACGACACTAGCGACTTCACCATAATGGCTGGCAGGGTCATACTCTCCCCTTGCTATTCTTGCGTTGAGATCTTGAAGTTGTTGACTAATTCGTTCTTCATCAAGAGTGTGCAGCACATCAAGAAGGGGGCCAATAGAACTCAACTCATATTCAGTACCATACATCTCTTGGGCTTGATGGTGCTGATGAATACATTGAACACAGCTTCGCATTTCTTCGGAAATTCTATTCCATAGAAGCTTAAGAGGAGAATCAGCTCGTTCATCTTTAAAATAATTGTAGAATGTTTCTAGAAGAGGTCCCATCAGATCCCAATAACCACACCAGATGTGATTTTCTTTCGGCAAATAGATTAAGAAGTTGAATGCATCTGAAAACCTGAATATAAAGCAATAACAGGCTAGTTTATCGCACGAACTCGAAAGAAGATTGTGTCCGATCATTAATAGTTTCCTTCCAGTGAGCAAAAAGATTAAATGCAGCTTGAGTAAGACCATCCAAAACACGGAGCTGGTATGTCATCAATCACATCGCAAAGTAAAACACATGTTCAAAAGTTATAAGTAGCAAGTTTGTCATTGGACAAGATATCATTCATTTGCTAGAATGACCGAGGCTCTAATTACTTCATGTAGGTTCACCTCAATGTCCTGAAGTTTTGTCCAGACCATTAGTTATTGGAAAATAAGATGATGAAATAAAAAAGCAAAACTGATTGTGTACTTCATATTCATCTTGATTATTCAATTATCTTGAAAAACTTCAGGATCCGTTTATAAAGCAACACCGATGAATAAGCAGCAAAGAAATGTGAATGTAAATAGTAATTCTTTTGTTCTGCTCATTTATTATAAAAATATTAATTTCAAAAGAGAATTCCATTTTCATTTTTCTTCAGACTAGCAGTGAAGTTCAAGAACAATAGTTTACTCCCACAAAAAAGAAGACAGAAAAGGAGGGAACCATTCTTCTTTGAGTTGGCGAAAACGACGACGTTTGACCGGATGACCAGATAATGCGTCGTCATCGTCCTCTTCTTCAATCGCCGTCCATCTCTCCAATAGCTCTCTTCTGCTCACCGCCTTCTTCGCCATTTTCGCGCCGTTGCGCGGGAAATCGGTGGATTTGTATTGATTATTGATCCAAGATGACTGTAAAATTAGGGATTGCAGAGTACTTGTACCGCCAAAGAACTGCGAAACCAAATCACACGCTCACGTATTGGTAATAAAACAATGTCGAAAAGCATATGGCGAGTTCTGGCGCGTGATTATCATTACTACAGATTTTGCTTTCGCTAAATTAATTTCGTAATTTCATTGAGAGGTGTAACTATTCTAAATTATATTTATAATTTTTTAGGAAAACTTACAAAATTCTTATATAGCCCATGTTTGTCCTCTATTTTTTTCAAAAACTCATTTTTAATCACACATTTTTCCATAAATAATGTTATATATAAATCAAAATTTTTTCATTATTTTTTACAACACATTTTTCATAAAATTAATATTTTAAAACTCATTTTCTCGCAAATTTCCATTAAAATGGAACCAAACATGATATGAATGTTAACCTTGAATTTGTTTGAGCCTCGTTCTAATAGTAATTTATTTATTTATTTTTTTTTTTGAAAATGAGTAATTAAAAAATAAAAAATATTTTTTGAAATTTTATATTTAACATTATTAGTCTTCAATAATATATTGAAATAGTAACGAGAAAATGAATATGAGAACTTAGGGTCCGTTTGATAGCATTAAATTCCATAAAAAATGTCACGTTCGAGGAATTCGTTTTCTACTGTAGCTATTCCATCTAAAATGAAAATAGAGTTCGAATTTCAAAGTACAACACTTATAGCATGTTTTTAGCCAATTGAGTAGAAATTGAATCCCTATAATTTTTGGTGATTTTTCTTTTCTAACTTACATGAAATTAGTTTGCTTTTTCCACATTTGTAATCAAACAAACCATTAGTTAAATTTTACAGTGAGTGGGTATCTTAATTAAAATCCTTATTCGAGTTAAAAAACTTAGAAAATGTGAATGTAATAAATCCTTAGAACTTAACATATATAGAATAATACCATGTTTAAAGAAAATACATTTAATAAAATTATAAAACGTAATGGCTTCCAGTGACCAAAATTTTGAAGAATGAAATAGTTCAAAAATTTTACGTAAAAACGTTGTGCAAACATCCGTGCTGGGATTCGCTCTTTCTAATTAGGTTCACGATATTTTTACCCAAGTGATTATTTGTAGGCTAAATATATTCCTGCCCAACTAACTATGGTCACACCATTTGTTTACACTACATTTTAATTTCAATGAAGGTATTTGTTTACATTTGCACTTGTGTTCTCAACATTTTCTCTTTTTTTATCATTAACTTTCAATTAATTAGCATATTATGCTGTAGATATAAGTATTCGTGTTAACGAGTGCGTCACATAGGTCCTTACTCATTATCACATTTATTCTTTAACTTTTTTAATCGTGTTTTTATTCATAACCTTGTTATTACTAAGCACATGTTATCCCTTATGACGATTTTATATTCAGAATTTTGTTAAGAGGAAGCAAAAAGATTTGTTTGCCCCCTCATAATTTAAATACACCACAAATAAAAAATTACGACCATTAATTTGTCCCTCATTGTAAATCGCATTGAGAGAATTGTTGGATGAAAGGGGTCATTGGAGAAGGGATATGTTGATTAACGAAATGTTAAGTATAAACATAGTTATGACAACGGGCCCCCAGGGCACATCTCCAAATGATAAAAGGGGAGGGTGGAGAAATCCAGCTTTACTTGAAGCTGCCGCGTCAAGAGTTCGAATCCTGAAATATGGATTTAGCTCTTGGGTAAGTACAAGTGTACAAGTAGCCTTCCACCCTATATCCTTGGAGACATAACCTGCGATTTACCTCCCTCACAATGTTTCAGGGCAGGGGCAGTGGGGGACCCTCAAGGTTGGGGTTCAACCTTTTTTTTATAGTTATAACGACGGATAAAGATTAATAACATTTAATGCTATAAAAACATGATGTATTTATATAAGGGAAATTGAACTTTTGAATTTGCGAACATCGTTTATTCATACAAGGGAAAAGTGTTGTTGAACTTACGAATTTGTTAGTAATGATATGACTTATAAGATCCAATAATAACACTACGTGTTCATCTTTCGAAAACTTTTGAACCCTAAGTGAACAGTTAAGCAATCCATCGAAGAGATAATTGCAACAGAAACTCAAAACATTTGAAACACTAGCAAACGTTTTTCTAAATTTTTTAATCGTTGATGTCGTCACCCCCAACCTTTCAAATTATTGCATGTGAGGTCCTTCTTAGACGATTTTTTATCCAAAATTCTGTCAATTGACTGAAAATATAATTTCCATCACTTTTTAATAAATTTTAAATTGGCAAAATGGTGACTTTGCATTTCCCTATTATAAACTATGAAAATATTAAAATCAAAAATTAAAAGAGAGAGAAGGAAAATAAACTGAACATTCTCCTCCCCCACTCCCATACTCAAAGAAGAAAGACACCTTCCCAATGCCACCACTATATCAAACTGCCATCGCCGCACCAATCACCAACACTACCACATCAAATCACCATTGCAAACTGCCACCACTACTATATAAGACAAAACCCATAACAATCCCTTATATGTAGATGAATTTAAACTAGAAGCAAAACCCCTTGATATTAAATAGCATTGATAGTCGTCTATGGTGACCAACAAGGTGAAGGCTATTCAATAGGCACTTTGCATTTTATGTCAGGTTGTCAACCACTATGATGTCCTCGACCCCATGAGCACTTTACGTCCATGCCAAGTCGTCGACCCCCATGAGTACTCTATGCCTACGCTAGATCGTCGACCCCTATGAGCACTCTACAGCTATATTGGAGTGTTAACCCCCATGAAATTACCTGCGCGGCCAATCCAACAATTAGTCATAAAATCATCAATGAATTAATGAGATTCACGTAACGACTGTCACGGGATCAACCAACCCGCGAGTAGTTAAAGACCCTCTACTCAGAACATTGGAGTAGTAGAAGAGGTTGCGTGGGACATGTGGCACCATAACCGCCAAGCAATCACACTGCGCCAGTCACCTATAAATACACCCAAGGCGAAACAAGCATGGACCCAAAAAAAAAAAGAAAAAAAACTTTAGCTATCTTAATTCAATCTTTTCTTTTCCTAACACTGTATATGATTCTCACGCGAAAGTAAAACGGGAGAGAAAAGCCCCGTCCTCACTTTTCAGATAACATTGGTTCAACAAAGTAACAGGAACACCTTGCGCCGCTAGGAGGGCACGAAGGTCGTTTCATGACTGCTTCAGCTTTTAATAATTCAATCCTGCAAATCATTATTTCATAGTTCGTATTACCAATTGAACAAATTGAACTTAAAATTTTTTACCTTCATCTGTGAATGTGTGGATTCTCCACTTTGTATTGGCATAAGAGGGAAAAATGGATGTGAAATAGATTGTTGCCTAAAGGGGAACAAAATGGATGCGAAGCAGATTGCTGCCAAAAGGGGAAAAAGGGGAAAAGAAGACTACTATTTCTAAGGTTATGCTACGTTGTTAATGCAATCATTTTTGGTATCCATTTCTTTGAACATGTTCATATGATTTTTATTCGTTGTGTGGGGAAGTGGATTTTGGGCAAGGAAAACTTGGAATTTTGGAAATGGGTTTAAGTAGGCGAGGGTGGCGATTGATGCTGCGATGGTCGACGGTGGGAAGATGTTTTTTTGGTTTGATTGGATTTTGGGATGAAAGGTAGAAGAATAAAGACGAGTCCACGGCCGTGTTGTTGGTGGCTTGAGGTGGCGAAGATGGATGGACAAAGAAGAAGATGAAGACGATGGTGCCTAATGGATTTTTTTCCTTTTTTTTATAATTTTTTTATTTTAATAAATATTTTCATATTTTATAATAGGGAAATGCAAAGTTACAATGTCGCCCATTTAGAAATTATTAAAATGTGGTCAAGATTATACTTTTGGTCAACCGATAGAATTTTGGATGAAAATCGTCCGAAAGGGCACACGTGAAACGGTTTAAAAGATTAGGGGTGATGTTGCAATGATTGAAATATTTGGGAAAAAAATTTGCTAGTGTTTCGACGGTTTAGAACTTCTGCTGCAATTATTCCAAAAATTTGTTTTTTACTCTTTTATTTTCAATCATACAAACCTCCATAAAATAATATTCCATGTAAATCGAAAACTTTTCTTTCTTTTTTTCAACCATATAATCTCCAAAAAAAATAATAATAAATAAATATTCAAAAAATTATAATTTCCAATAATGGGGGCTAGAAGGAGGCTAAAACATCATTGGATTGAGCATGACTTATTTTTATTTCAATCAATAGACAAATATTTAGTCCATGTTTGGGCTTCATTAAAATTTTAATAACTTTTTTCTTTTTTCTTTTCAATCACACGTTTCTTAATAAAATAATACTACACGTTAAAGCAAAAAATTTCCTTCTTTTTTTTATCACATTCTTCAAAAAATTACGATTTCAAAATATATTTTTCCTAAAATCTCGTGGAACCCAACCGCGGGCTTAATTTACTTATTTACTCATGAGTAAACTTTTTCAAGCTTTGGCAAACGTGCCATAATGCAAATTCTCTCTCTTTTTATGAAGGATGGAGCCAATGGCAAAAGCAAAAAGAGATGGCTATCAATCGAGTAAGTTGCACGTTAGCTTTGATTATGACAGCTGTTGGCTATGTGTTTGTGACATTTGGGTGGTTTTATCCTTCAAGGTCCCCACTTGGCCCCATGCTGTGTGAATATCCCAGAAAGTAACAGAAAAAAGAAAATGTTAAACAAAACAAAGATGCAGCAATTCAGGGTATGGTCCGACCAAAATCCTCCACGGTCCACTTAGTGACGAACAATCTATTTCAAACAAGATGAACCATGATATTTTATGGTAGAATTTTCATATTAGTCCTCAATCTATTGACTTAGTAGCCGGCAGTCTCCAACATATTCTTTTGCATTTAAATCACCAACCCCTCCTTTCGTAGCAACTTGGTCCACAACACGGAGTCCTTTCAAATGTTTGTTAAGTAGTCAAGTTCTTTTAAACCCCTCTTGACAAAGTTTTAGAGATTATAAGCTGATTAAATTTCATTTTTAATTACACGCTTTATTGAACTGATAACTATTATTCATTTTTTAATCACATATCTCACGAGTCATCCAACTTATAATCTTGGAAAACCTTGTAGAATAAGGACTAAAAAGACTATTGTAACCCAGGATAAACTTTTTAATTTTAGACAGGGATGTCAATTTGATTCGTCAGTTCGGGTGACTGGTGGCTAGGCCCGATAGCAGCCCGAAAGCAAATTTATGGGGGGGAAAAAAAAGTTTTGGCAGCTACACGACAACAGCTGCCTTTTTTGTGAGAATTGTGCTACTTTTATATAAAAATGGTACAAAGCGGTTATCGAAAATGATGTGGAAGGAAGAGATTGGATGAAAAATGTTGATTTTATTTAAACTGGTAAATGATAGAATGTTATGTGGATATTATGTAATTCTTAACCTTGATATACGTAAAGCAATGTTCTGTAACTAAATCCCAAGAACTTTTTTAACTGTAAAAGTAAAATTGCCCAAATCAATTTTATTTATCTATGATTGCATTGATCACAATCACATAATGTCATAGGTGGAAGCCTTAGAACTTGATAGTAAGAATGCTTAAAGAGAGATAAGGAGCACTTAATTAATTTTGGGTAAGATAAGGAGCACTTAATTAATTTTGGGTAGCTTTCAAAGTCTAATGATGTATCTTGACCAAGTGTGGACAAATGTTAACAGGTTGAATGCAGGACTTTGGACGGTAAATGCAATGGGGGGGCATCGCACAAAGTGCCGATAGTTGAAAAGTGGGATTCAAAGTGATACTTCTCATCTGTTCTTATTAAAATTAGTATTATTGTTGTATCCAACCGAGACACATGAGACGAGAACTGCTGCAGGTACAGAAGTTGGTTCACAGAATTTATACAGGAAAGATATATGGCAGTTTTTGTTGAAAGATGGCCCAAAAAAGAATAAAAAATGAATAACACAAATGTACAAATTTTGTGAAGGGAATCTTGTACGCTTAGAATTATTCCACATGAGACACACCTGTGCATTTAAAAGACTTATGGACCTAATCCATTAAATGAGGATCATCTTGCTATATAAATGATAGATTAGGAAATCAATTCAATTGGGATGTCTTGGACCTCACATGTCACTTGATAGGAGTAATGTGACGCTCAGAATTATCCACGTAATCAATACTCTCAAATCAAGAGGAGAATTGATCTATGGTTGATTTCGTAACAGATATATACAAATTTCTATTTGTACCTCGTAAGAAAATGACTTCTTTGGTTTTGTTTTATACTTTTTCAAATTCTATCCCCTCAATAAACATAAACGATGTTAACAAAATGTCATCATCTTGTACGAACGAACAAATATCTGTTGGACCAAACAAGAAATAAGATAGACCCACTCCAAGCTAAACAGATTAAGCTCGTTGTTTCAGAGAGCTATTTTAAAATTTTATTTACTTTTTCAATGATCAAATTTCAATTGTATCAGCATATTTTTATAAGATTCACAATTTTAATCAATTTTTAAAATTTTATATCAAAAACTTTGTCAGGCCATTCATAGAACTGGTTTGATTCTCCTTGGAATTTTAATACATTTCTCTTTCTCTTATTTTCAACAACACATTTTCTAATAAAATAATATTACACGTAAATCAAATTTTTTTTTTTTAAACACACATTTTCCCGAAAACTATGATTCCATAATACATTTTACCCAAAATTCTCATTATAATGATTGTCAAACAGGGGCACGAAGTCTATCCATTACTATACTTAAAATCTCAAGACACAAGAAAGTGATAAAATGAACTAGGTTGCTTTATTGTAGGAGGCGGGTGAAATCAATTTGTCTCATTTTTTCTTTATTGTAAGACGTGGCGAACCAATTTGTCTTAGGGATAAAATATGGAACTAGCTTTTAATAAGCCTTTCATAAGATTTTTTCATTGCGATTGTATACATTAACGTGCACAACAAGAACACATTTTTTTTGTTTGTTCTTCTCGTCAAGCATCACATCGTAGTCCGAATCTAAAGACAACACGTATCATAAGTAATGTGCTATTGCCAAATTTCCTTACGACATCAAGGAAGCAACACACCCTCATGCATTGACAAGTAATCCGTGTTAGTAAGGGCATGAATACACTTAAATAAATATTAATTATGATCAAGAAATTAATCATTTATTCCAAAATTGTACTTATTTACTGATTCAGAAATAAATCATTTATTTTAAATTTACTTACTTCTAAGTAATTTTTTGAAGCTTAGGCAAACATGGACTCGGATAAAAAGCCTTAGAAAGTTTTGAAAAGATTAACTATATTAAACTTGGTTGGTGCTAAACACGAGTCTAGCTCTCGATTAAATATTAAATATGACTTATAATTCTTCATTTAAGATGTCCAATCATATAATAATATTTAATGTACAACTAGATTAATGCTAAGCATCATTGAGACTGTCAATTAATTAATTGAGTAGCTTAAATATGATTCATAATTCTTTCTTTAAGATATTCAATCATTTAACAATGTTTAATAGACAACTAAATTAATGCTAAGCACCACTAAGATGGTCAATTATTTGATAACACATGTTAAATATGACCCATATTTATTTATTTAAGATTACTATATAACATTTAATGGACCGCTAAATTGGTACTAAGCACTAATATGACTGAATTTCGAAGAATAATAATATTTAATTTCACTGGTGTTAAGCATCAATCGAATTGTCAACTTATACTCAAATTTCCGTACGACAACAAAGGCACATCGCATTGTCGCACATTGACAAGTAGCCCGTGCTAACTTTTAAAGAAAAATTCATGTCAAAGCCTTGGAGGCAATATGCTGATGATTAGAAATTCAGGAACGTTTCCTCATGGTACATATCCCATTTTACTTGAAATGAGGCCGCTCTTTTCTGCAGTGTGAATTATATGGAGTTCCATGCAAGCGTGAATAATTGCTTAGACATCAGACATGGTTGCTGTCCCCTTCTGTCCGTTGAAACAATAGCTGGCTGATGACTATTTATTCGTAGCATTAGTATGTCGACTTCCATTGGCTTAGAATCCATTTCTCTATTTCGAGAACTTTTAATGCACGTCAATTAAACCACTGTATATTAACTTGCTTCTTTGGCACTAAGTTCTACCAGAATTTCAACTCGATTTCAAAATCAAGATAATGATCTTACCCTCTTTAATTTGCTTCTTCTAACTGGCCTTTTCCAGGTCGTGTTTGCTTGAAGATCATTGATTTGAAGGCAGTATTCCATTGTGAGTGAATGCTATTGTCTTTTAAGACACCTAGGAAAATGTGAAAGCACCACCAAAAAGTTACTGGTCTTTGACATATTATTGGTTTGTGAATGAAATATGTCATAAAGTTACTTTCTTGCCTCGTCTAATCTGTTAGTATAAAATTCTTAGGACGAGAATGGTGGTTGGTGTTGGGTCTAGAAATATTTATGGCAGTTTCATTCAGATTGTTGAACATCAAGGTTGGAAAGGCCTGTGGGCTGGATACGGAATCAACATGCTGCGCATAGTTCCCACCAGGCAATTGAGCTCGGAACATTTGAGTGTGTGAAGCGAACAATGACGTTACTACAGGAGAATTGGAATCAGACTGAACGCCCTCAGTTGCAGCTTGGTCATGTCAGTTTGAGCTTTTCTCTCTCCGGTTGCTGTGGCTGGTGCAGCTGCTGGGATTGTTAGCACACTTGTATGCCACCCACTTGAAGTTTTGAAGGTATATGCATATGGAATTTGCTTTCTTGGAAGAAGTTGTTGGCTCATCAATGATTGAGCTATTCTATCAATGGTTTGATTTGGAATTATTTGAGAAAGGCGTGAAGTTTAAATAGAATTGAATTGGGTCCCTAATTAGCTTCACAACTTGCTTTTGGATTTCTTAAACATTTAAAAGTGGATCAAGTGAGAATTACGCCACAAATGCGGATATTAGAGTAGTGTAAACGCTTTCATATGATGATATATATTTTGAAAACCCTGAAAAGATTCATTTTAAAACAAAGGGAGTGCATAACAACGATAGTTTCTTTACTATTTCATATTTTACACGTGTATTTTGTTGCTTGTCGTGTGACTTTTATCAGATTTATGGGGTTTAATCTCCATCGCATTATGGAGCTTTGTGCTCCTGAGCCATTCTATTTAAAAATCTGATTTTTATCCATGCCTTATACAGGTAGATTGACTGTCAGCCCTAAATTTATCCTAGCCTAAGTATTGCAATACGCAAGATTTACAAGGATGATGGTATTGGCGCTGTCTACTCTGGTATTTCACCCACATTGATTGGCATGCTCCCATATAGCACTTGTTACTACTTCATGTATGAGACAATGAAGAACTCGAACTGTCTGGCGAAGAAGAAGAAATCTTTAAGTCGTGCTGAGATGCTCTCATTAGGAGCTCTCTTTGGTGAGAATCTTCGCCATTTCCAATATTTGCTTGCATATGCTACTAGTTTTCCTTCATTAACATCGTGATACTTCCAATTCTTATATAAACTAGTGGGTCAACTCATATTTCCTTGGACACGATTCCCAAAGTTTGGAATCACAGGCACTTGGATCCCCCAACCTTCAATTTTTATAGCGAAGAAGTTTTACCCTCATGGTCAAATAAGCAAAAAGGTAAAATGATGACAAGAAAAAGCCTAACCCCACACTGTGAACCC